TGGAACCTCCCAAGCCTATTTAATAATAGGCCTGGGACCAAAATTAATTGAAATCATAAAGCCAACTAAAAGAAACACAACAAGCTGGAACGTAAAAGGCTTGCTGCATTGATCCTCAACTAAAAGTATTGAACTGAAGCCTACAAATAGGCCTCATATATGGAGTGAAACATTAATTTAACCACTTCCCGCTGGGGTGCCCGGTTTCGGGCACCGTGTGTTTATATGCAGAGCCAGGGTGCCTGGTTTCGGACAAAAGAGCTGGTCTGTGTAACAAAAGACTGTACTCGGAACAAAGGACTTGCTGCTGGGGACTGCCATCATTTTTCGACTTTCATTTTTCAAATGTAATCTGGTACTGTTTTGACAGAGGATACCACTGTTTTAGGCATAGCGCGCCCGCGGATTAGCACTTTGGACAAAAGTGGTCCAGGGCCCATTGATGAGTGGCACAGCACCGCTGCTCGCTAATCCAGCTGCGTATGAAAGATGCAACTGGCATTCACCGGGACAAAGGAAATTATGCAACACCTCACAATTCTGGGCTCTCTTTTACAGGGCTGCAGGCCTGAGCTGAATACTCAAGCTTCAGTGAAGGTTGCCTGTCAGATTAGAGTAGCCGTCAGACAGTCGTTTGTGTGGGTGTAAACATCCAGTAAATTGACCTTCATTGGCAGCACAGCTCCTCCTATGGACACAGAACTGGCACATTATACAAAATGGGACTAAAAGGTGAATCCCCAATTTTCACAGCATGTTCTCGACACCAAAAGTACAAAGAAGCGTAAGGAAAACTGCTCAGTAACAGCGAAACTCAAGCAAGATTTTTTGTTGTCTAAAAGGCTGCATGTAATGGCAAATGTGCTGCTGTCACTAGCACATGCAATGAACTCATCGCCTATCATGCATTGTTTATGAACGAAAGTTTCCACCAACCACTGTACATACATCTACTCATCGCATATTGACAGGCATAGCATGAGACTCCCCAGCCAATGACCATGCGCCACCGCCTCACATTGCTTGCAAATTAGGGATCATTGCAAGTTTTGTTTACCAGATGACGTTGCTATGAAAAAACACAGCTGTAACGGATGATAGTCTAACACTTGGGGACCGCGTTCCATAAAGCAGATTAAACTGCTTTGTTTAATGTGCACAAAATCATGTCAAATTTCAGTGAATTTCAATGAATGGTGAAAAAAATGATAATAAATAAATTGACTTCAAATCAAGAAAGATGATCATTGCGGCAATGCCGCATTGCATTGTGGTAAAATGAGGGTGCACCACACTTGATCAAGTTTTTAGAGTATGGCTGACTGGGGTGAGAGAAAAAAATGCACATGTAGTGCTATTCAGGTTAGCATTCGCAAGTAGACTCAACCATCACTTCCGGGGGAAGGTATTTTTAGTTTATATGGTGATTACATTTGTTTTGAAATTGTAAGTGCAACAGAGTGGCTACTTGTGTCTGTGACTGAAATCAGAAACATTACAAAAGTGTAAGCACAGGGTCTTGTGTTCCACGTTCTTACCATTCAGTGGAGTTCATCGTCTCCACTTCCTGGCTGGACTTTTGAAATGGACATACTGTTTTGGCAGCAGTTCTGTTCATATTTGTCAAGCAAAATAATTATAACAAGCAGTTGTAAAGTGCAGTCTATCTAGCAAACTAGTCTGAGGCGCTGTATTATCATTATCCCTACACCTTGGGCTCATGCATTATCTGAACATTCCTGAAACCATCTCAGCTCCCTGGGGAGTATACTAGCCCAGTGTCTGGAATATACAAGCAACCATGTCTGCCCTCACAGGTACCCATTTACTCCTGGGTGGAGAGAGGCACATATGGGAGTTAAAGTGACTTGCCCAAGATCACAACATGCTGTCACCAGCTGGATTCAAAATGGAGTCAGGCCTACCATGGTGGCAGTTTGATTCACAGAGGTATTTATTTATGCACAGTTGTACACAGTATGCTATTCTCTTCAAGAATGAAGTGTTATTTCAAAGTTACGCAAGTTTGAAGTTATCCAGCTTAGAGTTAATGAGAGTTTACTGTACACAGGAATTATTGATATATCAAATGTAGTCAATATTGATTTTTTAGTAAATCGAGTATCAAAAGATCTAATAACAACGAACCCCTGTCATTGATCAAATGTTTTGGCTGTGACGGGCTGTGATGCAATATTTTATTCAAATTTATTTGGAGCATTGTCTGTTTTGGTGAACTCTTTATTTTGTCTAAAACATAAACAGAAAGAGATCATCTGAGACTGGCAAATCACATGTAATGTGAACTCCAAATGTACCTGCACATCTGTTGCTTTACTGGAAACACATGCAGGTGTTCAATCCTTATTATTTACTATTACTGGTTTTTTGTCTTAGAATGTAAAACCAGACCCTACTAAATCCTGTGGACCATACCACCCATTTAATTCAAGTTCATGTCATCGACCACGCTACAATGAAGAAGTAACCAGAGGCAATCATGACACAATCGGAATGATAGTCGTTGATAAAAATGGCAACATTGCTGGTGGTACAACTACAAATGGGGCTAATCATAAAGTACCAGGGTAAGTAAACTATACAATTGAACTATATTGTTTCTCAACAGTGAAGCTCATACTGCATTCAAGAATACTCATGTTCATACTGTGGTGATCACATTTAGAGGCACACCCTCTAAAATCACTGAAAGATTAAGATGTGTGTTTTTATAGATGAACAGTGAACACACCAGTGACAGAAGATATAGACATCTGTTGTCTGGATTCAAAGGCTATTGCTGACTGACTTCAAAAGCAATATATGCAATTCGCAAAGCACGAAAACAAGACTGCCAAATAATCATAATATATCTGACTTAAAAGTACATATATTTCATTAAATAAACAGCGTCAATCAAGCTGTGAAATCTCTGCACCCAGATTTGTTTTGAAAAACACAAAAAATTTCTTATTCTCCAAGGATGGTCTGCCAGTTATTGTACATGTATTATAGAAACTCGGCATGATCCATATGCAGTCAGGAATGCTGCTCTGTTGTGGCCAGCCAGTTGTTGAAAAATCCGACAAGAGTTATTATTATCAGGCTTGTACAGCAGCTTCCACTATGCTTTTGCTTTTAGGAAAGGCTGCATTTATCATGTGCTTAGATAACTCCTTTTGTCGGTATCCTATTCATTGTCTCATTGGACAGGCTGCCCCCTAAAACATTGCTAGATTCCTGGAGACATATTGCAATGCTCTGACAGATGGTCAGTCAGGATAGATAGTCACCCGCGTAATTCACCCTTTATAAACCCTGGATGAGGCTTCTGCATCGGACGTGACAATAGAAGGATATTTGAATATCGGTCACGTTGATAATTTTGATTTTCACCTTTTTGAGATATAGTGATAGATTGGTTGCTGCCCTCATTTTTTCTTTATTTTCATTCTGAGCATCCTGCAGCTGAATGGTACTCAAATAAGAGACTTTTTAGCTCTGCAAGGTAAAGCTGCCACTTCAGTTGTTATATATGGGTAATTATGGTCAGTTCTCTTTTTAACTGGCATTTTTATGGAAAGGTAATGTGACAAATTTTTAGATACTACTTTGGTTTAGGGATAAGGTGGGTCACTTGTAACATCTTCCCTCAGTTTGTCTCATGTCCCATATAAACCACATACTATGTACATGTGTTTTTTTTTCCAGTCGTGTCGGTGATTCACCAATTGTTGGTGCAGGGTGCTATGTTGATAACAATATAGGTGGAGCAGTTGCTACTGGGGATGGTGATGTCATGATGAGATTCCTTCCAAGGTATTTACTGATGTGTGATTCCAGGCAAGCTGAAAAGTTCATGGATTTGACATGCCTGATAACAGCGTATAGGTAGCATGGTATTTGTTAGTTTGATTTTTGGTGGTTTATAAGATTCCCAAAATATTAATGAATTGGGGTAGTCATTGTGACCCTCCTACTGAAATAATTTTATCTATATAACCTGTGCTGTACTATTTTCAAGACATCAACAATTTCCTTTATTTTGTTCAATCTGTTCCACTTTTATGTGTGCAGTGTCGACAGAACCAGCCTGCACACTCTACCTGAGATTGTGTGGGTACTTGTATATGCTTAAAGGTACCATCCAACATTTGTAGCTGGCCATAGAGTAACTGGTGAAATTGTTGAAAAGTTGAAAAATATTTATTGGACTAAGCTCCCTGTAAAATAATTCTCTCAGGCAAGTTGTCATTTGAAGAAAGCAATGCAAAGGGTGATTTCCATCAATGTGTGTAAAGACACATTTTTGAAATTGATCTCAAACATGATGTCGTGCGTTGTTTACCTGTGCTTTTCCTTTGGGGATTCAATGGGTTGCAGACCTATCACTCAAAATGAGTCATACATTGCCACCCCATCTTGATAATCAGAATCTTAGAACAACAGAGAGTGCTCTAACTGTCTCAAGGGATGGAATTTGGCACTAATATCCTGGCTCCTTAATTTTACGAGTTCCTATGGTAGAATTACCTTTTATAGACAATATGTAATGTGAAACAGCGATATACTGAAACACTTGTTTTGTTTAATACAAAAAAAAAATATGCAGCCAGCATGCATAACTCCACACCTTAACTCCAAAACAATGCAGTTCACAACTATAAGGGAAACAGTAACTATGGACATATTTGACACCTAAACTTATCCAAGACTACAAGGGTGCATTTGCACGGTTACTCTTGTTATTCACAAGTAGGATGTGTATAATTGACACTTGGGTACAGGAGTATACTTGCCCTTTAGTGAGAGTATACTCTCGCTGACCTTCGGGTCGTATTTCAGCCAGATTCTTTATGCCAATACATGTACCTGTACTCCATACTCGAAATCAAACAATACATAGACAGAATTTTGACATATCTACATGTCACAAGGTAACAAAATGCACTTAATGCTGACTTAGCATGTTACACTGTTGATAAAAATTCATGAATTTGAATCTGAAAACTAATGCTTGATTCAATAAGTCAAAAATAAATATACAAACAATAGACTTTACAAAGTTACGTGTGCAGCATGTACTTCCACTTATCTAGGAAATGAACCAACATATTTAAACTCCATGTACAGTGGCCATCTTTATCACACATACCATACGCTCTGGCTGTATACTGAAAATTACACTTCAGAGTCTCAAGCTCTGGTAGCTTATCCAGTTTAGTGTGCTAAGATTCAAGAAACTGGTAATCCAACAAATTTAAAACTTGTCCTTGTCTTTTCAAATTACTACGATAATCATATCGCAAATTCATCATTCAAACTTGTTTTTGCGTGATTACACGATGCATTTGATGATTATTTGTTCAGAGTTACAGAAAAACTGCTGGTGTGAAAATACAACTTGACAAATTCAAGTCCTATCAACACATTTTATACCGATTACTTAACAAAACCGTGATTCGCCTTATTTACATAATCAATATTTACATACATGCACACAATACATACATGCCAAAGACTAGGAAAAATACCCTGGTCTTGTGCAGGCCAGACAGGAATCTAGTACACTGAGACTTGGTCTTGAGGTTTCTGTGCAATAAGGCAATAAATCAAGGGTAGATTTAAACCTTCCCAGTTGTCGCAGGTACATTAAGTAATATGTCAATGATTTTTGGAAGACTGCTTCAACAAATATCCAGTGTCAGCAAAAGCACTGGGAATTTGGAAAAGCGATGCATAAGGGGCCAGTCAAAATTTTCAATGTTTTTAAATTTCGACCTTTTTTTGAAATAGTGGGTGGGTGGGTCAAGGAAATAAATTGAAAATCGAAATTCACTTTTTATGTTAAAATCCCCTCAAAATATTTTTCTGATTTCTCAGAAATACATGTAGCCTGTGCACCTGCAAACATTCCAAAAATGCAATCTCTTTCAACTTCGTTCAATGTACAGACAGGTTGACTTTACATGTACACCGTCTCCATGTACATGCACGTATGTTGGAAACATCGTGAAAGGAGATTTTTTATTAGACTTGAAATCTAGGCGCTTGCAGCAATGATCAATAGGCCACACAAATGTGGCAGGGTACCAGGTGTATTAACCTACCGGTAAACAAAGAGAACGTTGAACACCAGTTGTTAATAACGGCACAACTTCATCACTTTGAATTCAAGACTAACCTGACAGCAGCAAACTGCATCCAAATCTGTTGGCTAGAGCTACATGTAGGTCTACGCCTCTGTTCTGCTATACAGTTATGTGCATATGCATGTGCGTGGAGCACGGAGACGCGTTCTAGCCGTAGCCGGGAGGTACATATCGGGGCAGATAAGAAACTGCATGCTGTTGCATGTGTGATCGATCGCGATCATTCAAACCAGAACGGTTGCTTCCATGGACAGACCGTGCGAATGCGAATGTCCCTTGTGATTCAGAAAGTCTGCTGTTCAATGACAGAGAGGACATTGTTAAGTTTCTCAAATGTAACAATAAAGCAAAACTTCACTCTGACTATGTGGGCTACAGAAAGGAGTATGCCTCTCTTATGAAGCATCTGAAGAGAAAACCCCTTTCTTACTTTGTAAGAAAATACATTTCTTTTCTTTATCTTCCTCATCAAAGGAGTCAAGATGAAAAAAGAAATAACAGAATATTAAACCGAATTTCAGTTGCACGGGTTGGTTTTAGCTGTGAGCACCAACACCTACGCTGTTTATTCTATATACAATTCAATAAGTCCTTCGGATACTCCATTATATTTGTTTTTTTTGGGGGGGGGATTTACGCGCAGATAAGTGACATTAAGTATTCGGGTAAATAACAAGCTAAACAGTTGCATGACTAAAGTAGGAAATCGACTGGTGGTTCTCACGACAATACTTGACGAAATTCACTAGATTCCTAATGATCGAGATGGCAGTAACTCTGATTCGATGCTTGGTCTGACATAGGCGCTTCTTGCTTTATCCGTTTTCCATCTACCGTGGTGTGCAACCAGCCACGTCGGAACAAGAGCATTGCTCGCTGTCGACGCACCTGCCGCTCAGAGGCTGTGGAGACCATATTTGGTTATGTCTGGTACAAAAGGCCTTATGGCTTCAAGCACAATCTCACTGGTTCTGGTATAACTTAATGGATGTGACGTAGGAATTAATCCTCTCTTACAAGTAGTTAACCTACGAATGAGTGGCAGCTCACAGCTTGGCGAGTCTCCAAGAGTGCTAATGTACTTCTCGGTGATAGCCACTGGGCATGTAAGCTTGTGTGTTCAAGCTATCGTAACAAAACTGCCTTGCCGAAATTGGTCGATTTTAGACTTTGACAAATAAATGCACATGTGACTAGAAAAGAATGTGCGATCTTTGGACCTAATGTTTGCAATATCGCTAAATCGGAGAAAACTAGCGTAACCAGCGAAAAGATATAAACAGGACTCTAAGATCTGCTCAATCGGCGGCAGGATGACTTTGGGCGCTAAGAATTCTTCTAAAACATCCGCCGTGATGGGCTCCTTCCTCCGCGTTGGTGAGGCATGCAGCCGGTTGTAGCCCTGCAAAGCTGTCTTGAATAGCAAGTCATCGGTAGGCGAAGGTAAGCCGGCCAATGAATGCGCCCATTTGGCGGCTGCTGTGAAAGTGTTCACAGCGGTCTTTGCTCCTGAAGATTGGTCCAGGTGCGCTAGGTATAGGCTCAAATGGTATTGGTCTGCTGGGAAGACTGGTACTCTGGTTCTAGCCGTTGCCCACTTTTCCTATCTGCTCCAGTCCGATGAGTACTTTGTAGTGGTAGATGATGCCTTAGCATATGACAGGAGAGCTGGGAGATGTCCTGTTGCTAGCTGTTGTAAGTATGAGTCGGTTAGGTCCAACGCACGGGAGTCCCAAATTGCTGAAAAAAGGGGCAAAGGAAAACAGCAAACAGAAAACTGTTCCTATTGCAAATCCTCCCAACGCCGCTAGAATAGTCTGCCGAGCTCGTTTCGAAAGGAACTGGGCCTTGTGATATGTGCAAACCTTGCTGACGTTCTTTGATGGGAAATGGCTTCGCTACCCAACATGCGAAAAACATTGCAAACATTCGTTATAGACGAATGTATAGGACATTTCCCGGCATCAAATAGCCTTCGGGTATGGAAAAACCGTGTATTTTCTTTTTTCTCTTTTCCTGATGGCGTTCGGAAAATCTTCTGTGAGAGATACTGAAGTAGTGTGAGGGATGAACGCGTTGTTTTCGTGTGGCTAAACGAGAACTGTCGTGTTCCCAGATGGCGTCCGACACCGCGGTCCGATAACGTGGTTACTGGAACTCGGAGGCCATGAAAACCCCTACTTTGTGGAGGAAACTTGGTTGCATCCAAGGATGCCAGACAGGGGCGCACTCCCCTGCTCCATGCTGGTAAAAGATGGATGGGTGAAGGGTTGGGATTAAGGCGAGGTGTTGTTTGTTCAAACTGAGAAGAAATTCCACTTTCTTACTTTGTAAGGAAATACATTTCTTTTCTTTATCTTCCTCATTAAAGGAGTCAAGATGAAAAAAGGAAATAACAGAATATGAAACCGAATTTCAGTTGCATGGGTTGGTTTCAGCTGTGAGCACCAACACCTGAGAAACGTTAAAGGGAAAAGTGTCTATTTTGTTTGTTTGCATGTCTTCCGACACGCATTTCTGGAAAAGGGGGCAAAATGATTAGACATGAAGTTTGCAATAGCCCAAATCACTGCAACAGAAACATCTATTTGACATTCTAGGAGGTAGGGACAATTTGTATCTCAATGCCAATGTCGAAAATGGTGGATTCGTCGAAAATAGTGAAGT